TCTCCACACACTGAAATTTACAGCCCTCAGAAACCTAACAGTGAATGTAAATGGAAATAACCTAGATAGCTATCAGTAAATAACCTCTGTATATCACACACATTGCTTTACACAAGAGAGATACTGGCTAACAGATCAACTGAAACAAACTGGGGAGGATGGCTCATTGTTTTAGATTTTCCCTTCATGATTTTTCTGTTTTTCCCTTCTTTTAAGAATTCACTCTGCATTCTTTCCCAAATTCCATAACTATCAGACTTTTAAGCTTAAAAATCCTTTTCCTAGGAATTTTTTCTATTTTACTAATACTCTTTTATTGGCATTATATTACCCAATTGTTTTACTGACCTGTAGTTGTAATGTCAAACTTCAGTCACTGTGAGATCCAAACTGTTAAGTAGGGCAGTGTCATCTAAAGCAAGCTCTCTTCAAACATGAGGAATTGTATAAGAAAGCAACAATAGAAATAGAGGACCCAGTGAAATTTAAATTGGCTTAAGTCAGGGTAGCCATTGCAAGCACGTAAGTGCAATCAAGAACTTTGTATTTGCCTCATCTCAGTGTTAAATCCTGTTCTATGTGCTCTGGTGCTTTGAGTTGGAGATGTGCTGCCTATCCAAAGGCACAGTTCAAATCCACCAGCTGCTCTACGGGAGAAAGATGGGCAATCAACTTCTTTGCAACTAAAAAACCAGTGGAAGGTCAGCTATGAATTGGTTCCAATTTGGCAGCAGATAACAGTATTTAAATCTGTTCTAGAACATGACAAGAAAGATCACAGACTTAGTCTCAAGCTCTTAAATCGGTCACTCCAACACCTGTCATATCCTATATAATGACCCAGCAGACCATATAGTTAGTAGGTCTTGTTACTATTTGTTTTTTTTTTTAAATTTTGTGTTTGTGTAACGTCAAATCAGATCTGACTGGTACAGGTGGAGATTGCCCCTCCTTTCTCCAGAAGAGCATCTGGTGGATTTGAACCACATACTTCTGGGATTGCAGTGCAGCTTCTTGCCACTAGGCCACCAAAACTCCCTATATTTTAAAAAAGTAAAGAATTTCCTCAAAAGGCTTCCATTAGATAACACTTCTATAATCGGAAAATGGATTAGTCATTGTACAGGGTACTGGACAAGTTATCTTTCATAAAAGTACCTTTTACACAATCATTAAGTAGGATTTCGTTTTTATCTTCATTTTTCAAATTAAGATGTGAAACCTCAGAGATGTTAAATTATTTGCTCAACATTTTAAGGGTAGAAAGTTCCAAAAGCAGGTTTGAACAAAGGCTTGTTTTTTCTCAATCTAAAGGAAGCTCTGGTGGTGCAGACTGTCGGGAACAGCTCTGCTAACCCAAAGGTGGTTTAAACCCACCTCACTAGTGATTGCAATCTACTAGCAGTTCTGCAGGCGAAATACAGACACTCTCCTATGTGATTTACAGCCTCCAAACACTTACTGGAAGGTCAGCTATGAGATGGTTCCAATTCTCCAACAATGATTTTGAGAGAGATACTCTAATTGAGTCAACCATAATTCACAATCAATCTTAGTGAGAATCTACAAGAATCTCATTTTTGCCTATAAAGGTACTTATTTTTGCCCCCTCCCCCCATTAAAGGTATTTTCACTAGGTATTTTTTTAAAAAGTTCTAGGTTGTAGATATTTTCTATATCTGGCCAGATTATTGGACTCCATCCATAGTTATTGCTGAGTACTTAAAAAAAAATCAGTTCTGAAAAATTCTCAATGTCCCCTTGCATTTTTCTATTCACTCCTCTTAAGATCAAATATATTAATCAAAACCTCTCAATGAAGGCTTGAAATTCTGATTCTTTTTCAAAAGTGGCTTTCAACCATTTTAGTTCTAATTATTTGAAATCTTCAATAATGCCTATACATTTTAATCACAATTGTTTCCACAAATATTTGATAAATTATATGAAGTATAAATGGGTCTGTTCTTTTTTGGTATTTATTCATGTTGCCCTTTTAACTATATACACACACATTTATTGTTGACTGATTAACTGATCACTGAAAAAAAAAACAAACAGGTTACCCTAGGTTTGGACTGGACAAGGCTTCTTCCAAGTCTTGGGTTGTATAAGGGCTGCCCCATAACTGGTCAGGATATTTTTTTTCTGTTAATAAGGCAGTTGTCCTTACAGTTTTACAAGGCTGTAAAATAAGGGTGAGTTTAGAGCTGCTTTATACTAAATGTCTAACACTTTGAGAATGCAGATCATTACTTTTAAAAAGGTGTTTTGGTCCTGATTTGTCCACATTGTCCTTGTAGCTGGTGGACTGACACCCAGCTATGGTGTTCATTTTTCAAATCGCATGATTGAATTCTAAAACAGAACAAGTGTGGTTTTATTTTTCCTTTAAAAATCCCAGTTTTAAAACTGTATTTTACCTCTCAGACACCATGCTGGGAAAGTGGGAAGGCCAGAGAAAGAGGAGACTCTCTCTACCAGATAGACTGACACAATGACTCTAACAATGGCTCAAGCACATCATAAACTAACGGCACAGAACAGAGCAAGGTTCAGATCTATTGTTCACAGGATCAATGACTCATGGTAAACTCCACTGCACTTAAACATCCTTTCTGTGACTGCTCACTGAATTTTACCATACATATATTTTACTAAAATCCCTATTTAGACATTTAGCCAGTATCTTGACCTTCTTCCCAAATAATCCAAGCACTTTGCAGCTTCCAACTTGTTTAACAGTATGTGACTTACCTACTTTCCTACATGTAGGAAACTTTACTTTTTATACAACAGCTATTTTTCTGAAAAGTGGTGGTGATGGATCATGAAATTAGCTGAGTCCTGGGGGGTGAGCGGGAGTTGCAGCCACACCAGGTCATCAGATCCATGTCATCATATGTGAGAGCCACTGTGCCCTGGATCAACTTGGAGGGCACATATCCAGCCCTCACTAACATTTGAAACCCTGGAAGGAAACCTTCAAGTTTATTTCCAATATACTATTTGCCCTGAGTGAGTCATTAGGGGTTCCTTATCCCAAAGGCAGAGTAGTCCCTGAATGCAACACACAGTAGTACTGTGTATCCCTATAGAAAAGCAGTCATTCTTTTTTAACCTGTTTCCCCTAAAAGCAGATGATATATTAGGTTCTTACAGATCTCAAATATATGTTTGTACTGGGTAGTCTTCAAACCACTGGAACATCAATCACTTTAGATCACACGGGGTACATGGAAACATCAGGGAACCTGATTGATGAAGTCAAGAGTTGGTCTCATCTACAACATATGCAAGACAGTTTCATTCAATATTCTCGGACAGATTACTTGGCTCTACCCTGAGTTAGCAGGTTAGAAGCTTTGTAACTAGTTAATAGTATCTTTCATTAAAAAAATTTTGTCCTGTCAGATATAGTGACTAATTATTCACACACTCTGCTCCTAAGAAATATAACCCAGCTCAAGTATAAGAACAAAACTGCTTACCTGAGGCTCTCTCAAAATTCAGTTTGTTTCATCCCCCCCGCAACCCCCCCCACCCCGTGAAAGTACCAATTAATTTATGAACAATCATAAACTCCTAGCATTGTGGGATAATACCTTGCTGCGTTCCCTGATATGGATCTGGTAAGGACCCTTACAGAGCTGAAAATCTTAACAGTTTTCTATCTAAAGTCAATCATCGTCTGCTTACATATGACAAATTTTATTGGAAATTCATGTGACCTCACCATAACTATCTGGCCTTCATGGCAAAGAGTAAGCCCTAAACAACGTATTTATAACATTTTTACAATAGACAATATATATATATGCAGTGCATGAAATTCCAAAACATTTAACAAGCAGACTTCATCAACTACCGATGGCTATTAGCCTTTTAGCTCCTGAAAGGAAATGCTCTTCTTTCCAGCACTCCAATTCACAGGAATCCCTGAATCAATCTTTCTGTGGTGTAAGGTGCAAAATCATGTTGAACAAGTATTCCTTATCCATTGAATATACTGAAATCCAATCCACTGTGGAACCTTTTATTATAGCATCAAATGCGAATACTACCTTTAAGCTTTAGGTGGGACATCTTTATTACACACTCATTATCCCTTCAGTGAGTTCCACTGAAATTAAAGTTTCACTAATTCAACTAGTATATTACAACATTAAGAGCCCTAGTAGTACAGTGTTAAATGCTTGGCTGCTAAATGAAAGACTGGCAATGTGAACTCACCAGTCATTTCAGAAGAAAATTGCGGCAGTTGGCTTCCATAAAGATTACAGCCTTGAAAGTCGTATGGGGCAGTTAACTTGGCCCTTCAACACTATGATTTAGAATCAAATATATGGCATGACTTTTGTGGTTGTTTTTTTTTTTTTTAAAAAAAAATCACAATATAACAAAAGCACATTCCAAGAAACTTGCATTTACAAAGTCTAACTCTCCAATCCATTAAATTTTAAGTTTACATCTTCCATTTTTCTCACACAGGAGTCTATATTTGTTTCACAAGTTATCATCCTCCCAAATCAATCAATTATAACCAGTTTATACTTCATGATCACTATACAATATATTCCCTGAAGCCAGTTTCTGAATTTGTCTTTTGAAGGCTCTTGAACTTTTCCAACTGGGATTCAAAGCTGTAATCAAATTGCCTACAGTTCTATTCATTAAATTTACTCAAATATGAATGTTCTCATAGTTAACTGATTCCTAATTTGTCCTTTTCTCATCCATGTACAGACACATCTGTGTTTATTTTAAAGACTCTTTCCACACTCCATTATCTTGAAAAGTTGTAGCCGAGTATGAACTACTTTATACTCCATAAAGGCTCAACTATCTTGACAGTGAGGAGCTTTATTTGTTGACTATGACTTAGAATCATACTGAAATAATCTAAAATAATTTAATTTACACTATAAATTATAAGCCATGAATAAGGATCTCAGATACTCCTTACATTCTTTCCTTTGAGACTTAGTAAGATTTACTTTCTACAGAGAGATTCTCATTATAGTTCCATCCAGAACATTCCCTGCCTCAAAGGTTCTCTGAGATATGCTACTATAATTTCCCACATATATCACATTTAAAGATTCCTCTCCAGTATGAGTTCTTTTATGCTTAGTAAGATTTGATCTGATATTAAAAGCCTTCCCACAATCATTACATCTGTATGGCTTCTTTCCAGTGTGGATCCTTTGATGTTGGTCAAGGACTGATCTATAATTGAAGGATTTCCCACACTCACAATTATAGGGCTGTTTCCCACGATGGACACTTTTATGGTTGATAAGACTTGAGTGTGAGATGTATGCCTTCCCACACTCATCACATTCATAGGGTTTCTCACCTGTATGAATTCTTTTATGCACTGTGAGGCCTGAACTGTTCCTGAAGGCCTTCCCACACCAGTCGCATATATAAGGTTTCTCTCCTGTGTGGATTCTCTTGTGTTGAGAAAGGAGTGAGCTGTAACTGAAAGATTTTCCACACTCAGCACATTTAAAAGGTTTCTCCCCAAGGTGGACTCTTTTATGACTTAGAAGAGTTCTACTTGAGAAAAAAGCTTTGCCGCATTCATCACATGTAAATGGTGTGTTTCCAGGATGAGTACTTTTGTGGTTTATAAGGCTTGAGTGTGAGATGTAGGCTTTTCCACAAATATCACAACCATAGGGTTTCTCTCCAGTATGGATTCTTTTATGTACTTTAAGGCTTGAATTGTTTCTGAAGACCTTCTCACACCTGTCACATTCAAATGGTTTCTCTCTTGTGTGGACCCTTTTGTGTTGAGAAAGGAGTGAGGTGTAATTAAAAGATTTCTCACACACATCACATTTGAAGGGCTTTTCCCCAAGATGAATTTTTTTGTGGTTTACTAGGGTTCGATATGTGATGAAGGCTTTCTCACACTCATCACACTTGTAGGGCTTCTCTCCAGGATGAACGCTTTTATGATTTATAAGGCTTGAGAGTGAGATGTAGGCCTTCCCACATTCTTCACATTTATAAGGTCTCTCCCCAGTGTGGATTCGTTTATGTACTTTAAGACCTGAATTATTTCTGAACGCTTTGCCACACTCATCACATCCAAAGGGTTTTTCCCTAGTGTGAATTCTTTTATGTTGCTCAAGGGCAGAGCTATAATTGAAAGATTTCTCACAATAGCTGCATTTATAGGGCTTCTCCCCAAGATGGATTCCTTTGTGATTTTTAAGGCTAGAACGTGAGATATATGCTTTCCCACACACATCACATTTATACGGTTTTTCACCAGTATGGATCCTTCTGTGAACTTTGAGGCCTGAATTGTTCCTGAAGGTTTTTCCACACACATCACATACAAAAGGTCTCTCTCCAGTGTGAATGGTTTTATGCTGAAGTAGAAGTGAGTTATAACTGAAGGACTTTCCACACTCCTTACATTCATGGGCCTTTTTCCCAGGGTGAATGCTTTTATGGACTGCAAGGCCTGAGCTATAGCTGAATGCTTTGCCACAGACATCACACTTATAAGGTTTCTCTCCTGTGTGGATCCTTTTATGCACTATAAGGCCAGAGCTGTTCCTGAAGGCCTTTCCACACTCATCACATTCATAAGGTTTCTCTCCAGTGTGGATGACCTTATGCTGAATAAGGAGAGAACTATAATTAAAAGATTTCTCACACTCATCACATTTATAGGGTTTATCTCCAAAGTGAATGCTTTTATGGTTTAGAAGTGTTCTGCATGTAATGAAGGCCTTCCCACACTCATCACATTCATAGGGCTTCTCCCCTGTATGGATCCTCTTGTGGACTCTGAGACCAGAACTATTACTAAAGGTTTTTCCACAGATATCACATTCATAGGGTTTTTCACCTGTGTGGATCCTTTTGTGCACCCTGAGACCAGAGCTATTCCTGAAGGCCTTTCCACACTCGCCGCATTCATAGGGCTTCTCCCCAGTGTGAATTCTTTTATGTTGGTCCAAGACAGAGCTATAATTGAATGATTTTCCACACTCATCACATTTACAGTTCTTCTCTCCAGAATGGGTACTTTTGTGGTTTATAAGACTGGAATAGGACATATAGGCTTTCCCACATTCCTCACATTTATATGGTTTCTCTCCAGTATGGATCCGTTTGTGGACTCGAAGGCTTGAGCTGCTTCGGAAAGTCCCTCCACAGTCATCACACTCATAGCGTTTTTCCCCAGTATGCATAATTTTATGTTGTACAAGGCGGGAATTATATTTAAAAGATTTCCCACATTCCTCACATTTGTGTAGCTTCTTAACAGCACTGGTTTTCAGCTGTAAATGGAGGCGAGAATTTCCATTAATGTATTCCACAGATCTGTCATGCTCACAGCTTTCCTGTTCTACAGAGGGTGTGTTAGGGGTAGTATGTTTTGAACTCAAATGAAAACTTTTCTCAGATGCCTCATTTTCATGCTCAATATTTACATTTGCTGTAGTTTTGGCTTTGCCAAACGTTTCCTTAATGCCATTTATATCTTCCTTCATTCTTCTCTCCTTAGTCTTTTCTAATTGATTCTCTACTGTGCTATCCCAATTGCAAGTTTCATCAACTTTAAATTCACGCATATAATCCCTGTGAAGACCTTCCATTTTCGGGCACTTAGATTCTGCATTTTCAAAATTTTCATGTTGCTCAGTTGATTCTTCCACAGTACTTCTTGTCTTCAAATGTGACACTAAACCAAGAAAACAAAAAAAATATACTTATTCACTCTGTTTAGAAAAAATAAAAATTATACCAAATATACTTATTTATTTAGCAAATATATAGTGAGTGCTGTGTAAAATAGTACTACTTTAACTACTGAGCAGCGAGCATGGCAAAATTGCTGCCACTGTGGTGATAATACCACAATGCTAGAGCTCTAGATTTTTAATGGAACAGAGAATTTCTAGTCTTACATCAAAATAGCTCAGCATGTAGGCAAGTCGAAATGGATTGATATGAACATAACTAAGGCACTACACTGTTCAGTTTTCTAACAATGTCATTCAGTGTAGAAAAATAAAAAGAGGGCTTAAGAACTCTAACTGGGGAACAAAGAAAAATATAAGACAAAAGTTAGAAGATATATTCAAGAATGTTGTTGCTATGTGCCATCGAGTCGCTTGCGACTCATAGTGATCCTATGTACAACAGCCCTAGATAGGTTAAAAAACTAAAGAAGAGGAAAATCAATACCTGATTAAAGATGTCAGAGAAATAGTTCTCAGATAATGAGGATGGCAACATCAGAGATTGGTAAGAAAGCAAACTTTAGTTATCAGGAGTTGGTTTGGCCTCCTGAATTTACCTGACCCCGAAAGTGAGCAGTCCCCACTTGTCACCAGAGGAACAGTCTAAACAACTCTGGCTTAAAGGAATGAAGCTTTGATTTCTACCTACTACAGACTAACTAACTACCGTTAGAACATAACAGTTTATCAAGCAAAAGAAGAAATACCACCTATGTTCAAACATCAAGTTGGCCTTGAGAGAAAGTTACTTAAACTTTCTGTGCCAGTTTCCTCTTCTATAAAACAAGCACAACAAGACTCTTGTGAATATTAAATGAGGTAACACAAATCATTTAGAATAGTGGCTGCCACTTGATGAATGCTAGAATGTGATATAAGTATGCTTACTATCTAATTTATTATCCTACTGTAATTATTAAGAACAATTAGATTGGACCAGGGTCTTCTCAAAGTAGGTTTTAGGGTTCAGGGAGGGCCCTCAGTTCACTCATCCTATCTGGCAGGCAATTTATATAATGTGTATACTATCAGCGTCTACTCCTGGACAGATTCATCCTGAGAGCAAATAGTTCAAAAGCAGTTATCTACCCCCAACTTTAGGTAACCACTTATCTATAATTTAAACATAAAAAAAAAAATACCAAATTCATTACCCGGGAGTCAACTCCAACTCACAGTGACTCTCCACTGGCTTCCTTAAGCTGTAAATTTCTCTAGAAGGAGACTTCCCATCTTTCTTCCATGGAACATCTGGTGGATTTGAATCACCAATCTTTTGGTCAGTAATTCAACATATAATCCACTACAGCTGATTGTTGTATACAAGTCAAATGTGATTCACAGTGACCCTATGAATAACAGATCTGAACTGTGACCTATCCTACACCATATTCATGATCTCTGTCATGTTCAAGCCCACTGTGGTAGTCACTATGACAAATCAGATTAGATGACAGATTTAACTAAAATTAAAATCTGGATCTTGAGCCTTGAGCTGGAGTTTTAGATTTTGTTGTCAGGAATCTGGTCTATCTTGACAATTTTCTGTCATTCATATTTAAAAACCCTAGATGTGGATATACGAGGTGGAACCAAAGACTAAAAGATATACATTTTGGGGTACAAATGTTAGACGAACACAATCTATATATTTATAGATAGATATATCTATATATATAGATAGATATATAGATATATCTATCTATATATATATAGATATATTACAGACTTCGAATTGAATTTATATAATTAAGGAGGCTAAAGAACTCAAAGACATCACCAGGAAAATAAAAGTATTGTTCAGAAGACATTAAAACATAAAATAGCTCAGCTGAGGCAGCTTCACAAATAACCTATTAATTATGGACATTAGAGAACAGAGAGAAATCATGGCATATCCTAGTTTACTTATATCCCGTTTATTATTAGTTTAGCCAGTGCAGTCCTTGTCAATTCAAATGTAATGGCTACCGAGTAGGCAATGTAATTTCAACCATTAATAGCACACCTTTTATCTGTGCTCTGAATCCTGCTTCATTCATTTCCCACTTTTGGCCCATTTACCTTTGCTTGTTCAGTTCTGATGATACAAAAATAATCAACCCTGGTGGCATGGTACATTACTTGTTATGGTAGCCTAAAGGCTGGCAGTTCAAATCTATTAGTTGTTCCACAGGAGAAAATGGGTAGTCGTCTTCTCTAACATTTAGTCTTAGAAAACAGATAGATGAGTTGAATTCAACTTGATGGAAATGTGTCTGGATTTAAAGCAACAAAACCAGATCCTCCTATAAACACAAGCCACCTCACAGACAGAAATTGTTAGAAAAAACAAAAAAGAAGAGCTATGAGGAGAGATTATTGGTTTTAGATGCTTTCAAGTCAGCTCTGACTTATGGTAATCCTATACAAGCCAGAACAAAGCACCATCATCACAGTTGCTGCTGTGCTTGCTTGAATCCATCGTTGCTGCCACTATGCAAAATCCATCTTGTTGAAGGTCTTCATCTTTTCCTCTGATGCTCTATTTTACCAAGCACAATGTATTTCTCCCGAGACTGGACCCTCCTGACCACATCCTCAAAGTATGTGAGTCAAAGTCTTGTCATCCTTGCTTCTAAAGAGAATAGCCATACCAGACACTAAAGCAGACTACAAAGGAGGCTGCTCTCTCTGAAATAATTTAACACTGACAGACAGACAGACTACTGGAAAAGAATGGCAAGTCCACTATATTAGGGAGCTCTGATGGCCTTGTCATAAAGTATTGTGCTGCCATCCCAAAGGCACAGAATTTGAATCCACTAGCAGCTCTGTGGGAGAAAGATGGGCCATCTCTTCTCTTGCAATTTATAGCCTCTGTACTGGAGGGTAATAAAATGACCAAGCATTTAAGACTGGTTGAGTAAACTATGATATTTAAATACAAATAGAGAATCCAGAGAAGACGTGAAAGATTTCTGAGTTCTATGAAGCAATTTCTAGGATATACTGTAGTCAGAAAGCAAAGTGGGAAAAAGCACATATGCTACATTTTGTGTTTGAAACTGCTGTTGTTGTTACGTGCCGTAGAGTTGCTTGCGACTCATAGCGACCCTATGTACAACAGCCCTAAACTCTGCTCTGTCCTGTGCCAATCGCACTGTCTCCGATACACCCATCCTGATTACCCCCGTCACTGAATCAATCCACCTCATAGAGGGCTCCCCCTCCTGTGCTGTCCCTCTACCCTACCAAGCATGATGTCCCTCTCCAAGGGTCAACATGTCCAAAGTATGTTAGACGAAGCCTCAGAATCCTTGCCTCCAAGGATCAGCCTGCTTTAACCCCCTCCAGGATGAACAACAAAAAAACCCAACCCAACCCAATTAATCTAGGAAAAATAAACCAAACAAAAAAAAACTTCCATGGTGAGACAACAGCAGTGAAAGTGCAATGACATCCTCAGCCACTGTCTTCCCGTTACCTCGCCACAACCTTCGGAGATGCAACTTTTCTGTGCCATAGGGACTGTGCAGCAGCACTTTTCACCCTACGCCTTCACAACTGAGGGACCGTATTGGCAATTGCTAAAATAGACTTTTCAATCGTTGCTTCTGACACTGGACTGAGTGAAGAGATCTCAGTTTACACCCGTGACAGTCCCAAATGTTACAAACAAACAAAACAGTCATCAGGTGTGGTGGTTTCCACGGTGATTGTCTCACACTTAACAAGATCACTGAAGCAAGACTCAAGATGTATAAACACTCCAACAATAAGGCCATGACCACATGGGCCATTGCTGCCATGTTCTCCACCTCGTGTACTCACGGCATTTCTTCCCCTACTATGTCTACAACATCACTGGCAGACTGGACAAAGACGGGAAAGGAGCTGTGTACAGCTATGATCCAGTGGGCTCATACCAGAGACTCCTTCAAGGCTGGGAGGGGGTCAGCCAGTGTGATGCTGCATCCATTGCTCAACAACCAGGTTGGGTTTAATAACATGCAGAATGTGGAGCACATCCCACTGTCCCTGGACAGGGCCCTGTGTCTGGTGCAGGATGCCTTCATTTCTGCTGCAGAGCAGGATGTGTATACAGGGGATGTGCTCAAGATCTGTATTATCACCAAGCACGGTGATAGAGACTGTACCCCTTCGAAGGGACTGAGTCCTGAACGCTGTGAAAAGAACAGCTCTGTCTCTGGCTACAGGCTGCTGCTGTGGCCCACCTATCTCCTTAAAAGGCATGGGGCCCAACCTCTGCCATCCCAGACCCTGTCACCGACCGGCCTTATTAAAGGGCCTGTGGCCGACCTGCTTCACTGTGGGGCCTGCGGAAACGAAAAAACAAAACAAAAAACTTTCCGTGTTAAATGAGCACATCTAGCATTCTACTATCAGTCTGTTTGTATTATCATTCTCTGTTAAAAGGAATAGCTTATTCTGGGGTTAAGACAAGGTAGAAACAGTTGGATTTTCTTCTTTCAGGAAGGAAACAGGTACTCAAGAGAAAATACTTGTCCCAAGAACACAAAAGCAAGCCTGAATCCCCAATTTAGGCACCATAATAATGGTGGTGGTTGTTATGTGCTGTCGAGTCGCTTGCAACTCATAGCGACCCTATGTACAACAGCCCTAAAACTATGCTCTGTTCTGTGCCAATCACACTGTCTCTAAATCGATCCACCTCATAGAGGGTTTTCCCCTCCTGCAATGTCCCTCCACCCTACCAAGCATGATGTCCTTCTCCAAGGACCAGTCTCTCCCCACAACAAGTCCAAAGTATGTCAGACGGAGCCTCAAAATCCTTGTCTCCAAGGAGCCACCCGGTTTAACCCTCTCTAGAATGAATCTGTTTGTTTTCCTAGCAGTCCATGGTACCCTCAATACTCTTCTCCAGCACCACAGCTCAAAAGCATCAATTCTCCTTCTATCCTCCCTAGTCA